GGACTGCTATCCAGGGTAGATGAAGGTTTGGAGGATTAACACAGGAATTACTCACCCAGCAAAGCCACACAGAGTGAAACTAGAGACAAGGGTGTGAGCTGAGAATTACTCAGTGAAAGAGACCTTGTGTTGGACTTTTATTCTAAAAGAAAATGTTGCTTGATGGTCACATGTCATTATATCATAAAGCATATTTTACTACAGTAGGTGCATGTTGCCATCTTCACGCCTCCTTTTCAAACTCCCCATCTTGTCCTACCCTTATAAAAAGCCTATGTAGATGGATATGTCGGCAAATGCCATGCTTGTGTGCAAGCGTGTCATACCTACATATTGGAGAAAGAAGCAGAATAAGGACATGGGACAGGACTCTCAAAGGGCAGTGGGACATGGCATCAGAACAATTAGCACACTGCCCTTGTCTGTGTGCAGGGTGCGGAGTGTTTCTTCTGCTCTTGGCCTGTGAGAGGCAAAGAGCAAAGCCAAGACCATAAGGATGTGACGACTGCCATCTAGTGTTGGCTCTCCTTAGCTGCAGGCACACTGACCAGGGATTTCAGGGACTAAAATGTTAAAGGAGCCCAAGGGACAGAACAAAGGGTCACATTTTCAAAAACAACTTGAAAATGAATGCTGTAGGCAAAGGTCTGGGCTCCTGGTGTGGACATGCCTTTGTAGTTGGCTCTGTAAGACCCGTGCTAAATGGAAGCAGTCAGTCTGCTGTTGCAAGCCTCCCTTTTGGAGCAGTCTCAGGGAACCCAAACATCCAGAACAGGATAGAAAAGGTCAAGCTTTAATGAAACAAAATATATGAAAAGGTTTCCAACATGCCACTAGGTTCAGGAACTATAAGTCTCCATTTTCATGTTTAAAGTCTTCCTTATCATTTGACATATATTTTCTACAAAAGATAATCAATTTTGCTTCATCTGTCCCTTTATGAAAAGACACAAACTACTGTAAAAAAATTCTCATTATGAAAAGCCTTATGTTACAAACACCCTATAAAAAGAAGGGATCAGCCCCCGAATAGGATATCACCTGATAGAGCTGAGCATCTATTATCCCATGTATATTTTCTAATCTAAGAAGTCCTTTGCTTGGAGTGGCATCATATGCATGTATCACGTCTCCTTCTTTTGATGTTTTTTTCTAGCACTTGCAGATGAAAGGAGACCAGAGGGCTCAAATGGGCTGAATAGTGCCCGTACTTCTCTATCTTTACACAAAAGCCTTAGATGCTCATTTCCAACATCATCTACTAGTTCATATCTTACTGGGACCACACCAGGCATCTCAGTCAACCAGATCTTCACAACTCCTCACACTCCTCTGACTTTTATTCAAGCAAAATGAATGCATGTGGAATATACACTGGTAAGGTTAAAACTCAGACACTAGCTAGCAAGGAAAAAATGAGCAAAAAGCAATATAGCTTTAAATGCGATGCTCAAGGGTTTTTCTATTCATGTGTGTGTGTGTGTGTGTGTGCGTGCGCGTGCGTGCACACGTGTGTGTAGATTCTTCATTTGGGAACTTATGTCACCTTTATTAAGAGAAGCTTCAGGGTATAAGCCCGTTACCATGGCCCGGTGTCATCTGAGCCCTGATAGTGATATCAATCCTTTGGGCTGGAGGGCAGTGGTTCAGCCACTGCATGATCCGTTTAAAGGGTACTGGCAAATAGTGTCCGACCCCAGGCACAATCCACTCTCAAACTGTCAGTGTGATGGACTATACCGCAAACATGGTCAGCACACCCTGCCTTTGGCTCAGGCGCTGGAGAAACTGATGAGACTGATCCAGCCTCTCATAACAACAGAGTCGGGCTGAGTGGTCACCTTGGCAGAAATGGAATTGCCAAGCTTCAGCTAAAATACAGCATGGCCTGTGTTTTGTTTTTTAGTTTATCCTAAATGATATAATTTTGTCTTTCTTTTTGTCTTTAACAAACAAAGGATAGCACTGTATAAAGAGCGCAGATAATAAGACACCAGAGTAACTAGGAATTGGCCCAAATTTTGCTCTGAGCAAAGCCAGCCTCTACTGTACCACACAGTAAGCTGCACATGACAGCACTCTGTCACCCACCCCACAGGAGCACCGCTGCCTGGGATGACTGTCACATCACAGCTAACACAGAACCACAATCCAGGAAGCACATACTTCCTGGTATGTCCTGCAAGCTCCTTTTTCTGGCTGCTGCTATATCATGGAGTCAGTGTTTCCCAGCAGAGCATTCTGTAACCCTCTAACACCCTCTATCATCTTACAGCAGGCTCACCCAGAAAATACAGGTGCACCTTCTCATCCACACAGGGGACATTTACCGGGTCCAGAAATTAGGACATGAACATTTGGGGGCTCATTGTTCATCCTATCACATCATCAGAACATCTCTGAAAGAAGAATGTAGACTGGCTACATCCTTAGACACCCTGGAGACAGTAAAAGACAGAGGACAGAATAGAACACGCCATCACCCAGCACACTCAAGTGTTAACTCCTGAGCGTGGGCAATTTAAGGCCTTTCTCTGCTTGTCCGTTCAGGGCAGGGGCTGTGATAAGTTAGATAAGGCACAAAAAAAAAAAAAACCCTAACAATAGGTCAGACTTAGGACTTATGGCACCCCGAAATGACTCTTTATAAACAGAAAAGGTCAAACATGGACCCTGGGGCTCCAATACGATAGACTGAAACCACAATGTTTAAAACACAGCCAACAGTCAGGAGTGCTTGACTTTTGGAGTGTTTGAAATCAAGAAGACTTAAGTACAAAACTGAACATTCTCAAAATAGTAAATATGATGTATTTTGATGAAATAAAACAAGTGAAAGGAAGGGGAAGGGAGGGAGGGAGAGAAGGAAGGAGGGAGGGAGAAAAGGAAGGAGGGAGGGAGAGAAGGAAGGAGGGAGGGAGAGAAGGAAGGAGGGAGGGAGGGAGAGAGGGAGGGAGGGAGGGAGGGAAGACATTTTCAAGAATCTAAAAGCTACTCTCTCTGCCTTCTTCTCTTTCTTCTGCTGATGGAGGGAACATGTTAATGTTGGGGCCAGTATAAACTGAAGCAAATGAGGAGCAGGATCACCCAAGAGGGCACTGTGGAAGTAACCTGGAAGTCAGGGAAAACAGGAAAACACCACAGACAAGAATCAAGTTTCTCACTAGCAGACAAGATAGGAACAATCACAGAAGAAATGTGCATGAATACTTACTATCAAGTGGAACTGAGCTCTTTATTTTCAATATTTAGGTAGAAAGAAAAGCTTCAAAGATAGCATGCTTTGTCCAAGACAGAACTAAGGCCACCGACTACCTTCCTACCAATAGATGGAGAAAACATGACTTTTGGGGAAATCAGCTGGTTCTAGGGGCTTGCTCGGCCACCATAATGTGGTAGAAGACAGCTCCCCTTGCCAGATAGTAAAATATGTTCAAAGGAGGATGGTTAGGAGATGCAGAAAACAATGTGAAAGACTTTCCACTGCCAAGGCTAATATGGTTTGAGCATCAAAGTAAAAAATTCCAGGATGAGTGAACAGGAATGGATGAATGGAGTAGAATTCATGAGTCACAATTGGTCTAAACAAAGAAATGCATCAAGGAGACCATTTTCTTCTAAGCATGAGAAAGTTGACAGAATTATGAAGATAACCCAGGGCAAACACTTCAATTATAGCTAATTCAGATGGGGAACTTTAGAAGGTGCAAAAAATGGTGGCTGAGGAAAATGGAAGTCAGAGGATCCTAAAGTATGTCCTCAAAAAATAATGAAGGAAATTCCCTTTTGAATAAAAGCCAACAAAATGCTGCCCTTCACCTGGGTGATCAGATTTCTCCTCGCTGCTATGGACCAGATCAGCTTCACCTAGGACATAGCATCAGCCCTAGAATCTTCAAGACACTCTTCCCCCCCACCCTCAAAAAAAAAATAGCCTAGTCTACTCACAAGGAGACAGAGCAAACCCACACTGAGGTCACCGTGCTCATGACTCCACTGTGGTGTTCTGAAGTCCTGAGGTCGTGAATGTTGAGAAGATAGGAATTCCTGCTGGGATGACTGATGAGGCATCCAATGGGCTGCAGCTTGTGGTCCTGATTGCATCTTTAGCATTGCTATTGTCATTATAAACAGCATTTGTGTGTAGGGGGGCTGGGGTGCACATTCATGAGTGTGTGGTGAGCGTGCCCAAGCATACACAAGCAGAGCCCAAAACAGGACTTGAGGTTTATCTGTCACTCACTATGTTATAGCCTTGAAACCTTATTAAACCAGAGACTTGTAATTGGTCTAAACTGGCTGGCCAGGAAACTCTGGGGACCTGCCCATCTCTGTACCCGAAGCTGGAGTCAAGAGGTACTTGCAGCCATGACCCGTTCTTTACATGGGTGCTGGGTATTCAGACCTGGATTCCCACGCTTACAGAGCCAGCACTCTTACTCACATCATCACCAGCCTTCTGGGTTGAATCTTTGTTCTTCCAGATAGGGGGTTATGTCTCTTTGCGGTGGCTAAACTAGACAGGAGTTATTTATTCTTAGAAACTGACCTCCAAAAAGAAAGAAACTTTAAAAACAGATCAAACCCTACTTGATTTTCATCACATTCTCAGGCTCTGCCTCTGGATGCTGCTGCTTCGTGTGGGGTTGACTGAATCATGCCCCACGGGAGTCCAAACCCACATCGGCAGGGGGACAAAATGGACTCATTTTCTGGGATTTGACAGGCTGGAAGATATCACCCGTCTTACCTTGCTACAATATTATTATATACAAATGAACAAAAAGTCCACCGTGGGATACATCATAAGGTCCTAGCCATGCTGGGCTATCATGTGAGTCCCTGCCTCTTAAAAGCAAAAATAAAACCACACAACAACAACAAAAACCACATGAGTAACATTCACCGCGTTTGCCTTACACAAGAAATTGTGTCCGGGCTTCAGAGTTGCTGAAAATGATCCTCGTCTATACAGCCAAGCTCTCCTGCTATCCTTGGTCTTTGGTTCTCAACCCCACACAAGGTAAATCTGACCTTTGGCAGCATCTTCCCTCTGTTCAAGCAACAGTAGGAAATGCTTCTTTTGTTCACATTTATTTTAATTATTCACTGCAGTGTGTTTGTGCACATATGTGTGTACTTGTGATCTAGAGTGTGTGTGGTGGTCAGGGGACAGTTGCTGGAGTCAGATCTTTCCATCGTGTGAGTCCCGGGAAACATGCCAGATGTCAGGCTTGGAATCGAGTGCCTTTACCTACTGAGTTAAGTTAACCGTTTATTAATGAAGCTCAGGAACCATGCAATTTCAAATGTCAACATCGTGACTTAGAGATAGAGACCATAATTTATTTTTTTTAATGTGTTGTATTTTTTTTTAAAGCAAAACCTGCTTTCTAGTTACACAGAGGCATAAGAACTACCTAGCAGGGTGTTTTTCAACTCCAAGAAAGTCATCAGGCAAAATGCAGGTAAACAAAGAGAAAGCACGAAGAGGAGCTACCTGACTAGGGGGTCGATAGGCACAGTAGTTGGTAGTCAATGCTCCTGTAAAGAGACATTGACAGACTACACCAAACAAAAGAAAATTCTTCAAAGGCACTTCATCATTTTGTAATTTAAAACAGCTTTCTCAAACCAATCCAAAGATAGTGCTGTATCGTGTTTCATTAAGTCTCATGTGCATTTTATGTATTTTAACCCTTGTCTGTGCTTTCCCCTAAGAAGACTGACCTTTTTAAAAACACATGTGCCTCTATGAAAGAAGCAAAAAGAAATACTCAGGAGTTAATGAATCAATATCTATTTAGGACCTACGAAGTAGACAAAAGCACAGACAAAATGAGAAAGGAGAAAATCACTTCAGGTGGTTGAACAAATGCATGCAACAGCTCCAGAGCAATTGAGTTACTGTAGTTATTGTTGAGATGGCTAGAGGAGGGAGACCAATCTAGAGAAAAAATAATATACAGTAAGGAGTCACATGGGTACATTATCCCTTTAAGAAGGTAGTTGGAATTAAAAAAAAAAAAAAAAACAGCAACAACTGTGTTTTGAAGGTGGTGGAGGCAATGTTCTATGTAATCAATAAATTGATAGCTTGATTTTTAAATAAATACTTGGATTTTGACTGCATGTAAATAAATACTTTAAAAAAGGTCAAAAGGAAAGAGGATTGCAAAATTTCCAAAAGCATAGGAACACATATAGGTAAAGCACAAATACAAATATTGAGAAAAAGAAAAGTTAAAGAGACAAGAGACCCATATTGGAGCACCGGACAGAAATCTCAAGGTCCAAATCAGGAGCAGAAGGAGAGGGAGCACGAGCAAGGAACTCAGGACCACGAGGGGTGCACCCACACACTGAGACAATGGGGATGTTCTATCAGGAACTCACCAAGGCCAGCTGGCCTGGGTCTGAAAAAGCATGGGATAAAACCAGACTTGCTGAACATAGCAGACAATGAGGACTACTGAGAACTCAAGAACAATGGCAATGGGTTTTTGATCCTACTGCACGTACTGGCTTTGTGGGAGCCTAGGCAGTTTGGATGCTCACCTTACTAGACCTGGATGGAGGTGGGTGGTCCTTGGACTTCCCACAGGGCAGGGAACCCTGACTGCTCTTCGGGCTGAAGAGGGAGGGGGACTTGATCGGGGAAAGGGGGAGGGAAATGAGAGGCGGTGGCGGGGAGGAGGCAGAAATCCTTAAATAAATAAATTAATTTTAAAAAAAGAAAAGTTAATATGAATAGGGATATTTAAAATATAAGAATTCTAAGTGGAGAATCTAATGTAACATTAGAAATAGGAAGGGCATTTTGGTGCAGCCTCAGCTTAGCTCTTTCCCAGCTGAGACTCAGAGTCTTTCCATCTAACCTGCCTGAGTTTCCTATGTCAGTCACCAGCCCACAAGAACACTCCTTACCAGAACCCCACAGAGGTCACATGAGGCTATCTCCCCGTCTCTTCCAGACCATCTAAACTATCCAAGCTTATATTCGCCCTCTAACAGCCTGCCTGCAGGAGCACTTCTTTTCACCTAAAATCATTTCCTGGGGACTCCAATCTTGGTGTAGAACCAACTCTATGCTGTGGCCCCTCACAGCCTTTTCCTCCACCCTATATACACTCTTATGTGTCCACTCACAAACTCAAAGAAGCCCTCTATACCAGGGACCTCATAGCCACCACACTTGCCCAGAATATAAAGGGGGCAGCTGCAACCAAAGAACACATACCCAACAAAGACAAGACCGAATATCAATACCAGGAATCAAAAACCACTGATCCTTAATAAACCTCAATATTAATGAACTCAACTTCCCCAAAACAAGACACAGATAACAGAATGAATGCAAAAAACAGGATCTATCCTTACTCTCCACCCAAGAAACACACCTTAGCATAAAGGATAGACATCTCCTCAGGAAAGGACAAATAGAGGAACCACATCCAAAAGGAGTAAAGAGCAAGAAATATTTAATTTCAGGGCACTAATCAATAAAATAAAAGCAACAAAAATTAAAATCAATGAAACAAAGAATTGGCTGTTTGAGAAAATAAATAGGATTGACAAACCCTTATCCAAACGACCTGAAAGGTGGTGGGGAAAGGTAACAAAATTAGAGATGAAAAGAGGTGTAAAACAACAGACACCCAGACACCAAGGAAATCTAGAAAATCATCATAAGGACATTATTTTAAAAAATAGCTGTTGTTGGGGGCTATGGTCTGAGTTGATGTTGATGGCTCCAGTTACCACAGAAGGCTATGCAGATGCCCAAGGTCTGGTCAGCCACCTGCGACCATGCTGGTATCCAGGGACCATGTTGCCATCAGGGTCATACTGATCTGGGTGACCTTTGCTGTCACCCAAAACAATGCTGATATCCAGGTCCAAGCTGCAGCTGAGGGCATGTTTGGGTCTGTGACCCTATAGTAGACCAGGTCTTTGTTGATGTCTGTGGCTTCTATTAACATAGGGCCATGTGGATAGCCTGGGTCTGGTCAGTCACCTGAGACCATGTTGGTGTCATAAGGTCATGCTGCCACCAGGGCCATACTGATCTGGGTGGCCTGCATGGTTACCTAAGTCATGGTGACATCCAAGCCTGAGTTTCTGCTGAGGACCATGGTTGGGTCCATGGTCCTGCTGCAGCTGGGGTCCATATTACCACATGGGGTCATAGGAAACATGCATGCTGAAATCTAAGGACTATGATGAGACAGGGTGCTAGAAATAAAAGGGAAATTATATGCTTGCCCTCACTGCTGACCCAGAAGCTATCTCTAATTGGAAACAACTTGCCCATAAAAATTCAGATATCTCCAAGTGTCACTGGGAAAACCAACTACTCTTTAGTGTAGGCGGCAAGCCCATAGTAGATGGCCAACAAAAAATGAACTCACCCACATCCGTGGAGGCGTCTATCTTACACTGTCATAACAGGGCTTTTACTTTTTAAAAATTTTATCTTATATTTTATTTTATTTATTGTTTTCTCTCTCATTTTACTTTATAGGCCTTTTTACATATATATTATGGCTTCCAGTTTAGTGCTTTTATGGTACTCCTGAGAGGCAAATAGAAGGGTCTCTACATGTATATCTGCCTTTTTTGTGCTCTTTATTTCTGTTTGTCTTGTCCTAGTCTGGTGTGTGAGTTTTTGTTTGATCTTACTATATTTTATTTTATTACTGTCCTTTAAACATCTGTTTGTGTTCTAATAAGAGACAGAAAGGAGGTGAATCTGGAACTGGGAGGAGTAGAGGGAAGGGTAACCATAAATCATGATGTGTGGCATGAGAGAAAAAAATCTATTTTAAATAAAAGTAGGGAAGGTATAATCCTGAAATGATACACTATGCATGGAGTTTTCTTCCCACTGAATTTCACATTGTGATTCTTTCCACAGTTGCTAGTTTTTCACGGAGGGTTGTGCCTGGGGCTATTGTTCCATGTGCAACCATGAGTGAGTGATGATGAAGCAGGCCTCTTGTTCAACTGCTCTATGTCCTGGGCACCTAGAGTCTTCCCTCTCAACCCTTCCCATCATTCCTGGTCAGGACAAACAGCATCAAAGCTACCCCCACCAGGCTCTGTACAGAATGCATTCCCCCATGAGCATCAGGATCACCTTAGACGTGGGACAAGAAAACTAAGAACTCAGTTCTGACTTCTGTGTAAAATCTTCCAGAAACATAGAGCCCCGAATATAACAACGACAATGATGGTGTCATAATATAAAACTGACCAACATTTATGTCCTCACTGGCTTCAACAGACTGCAACATTCTGTAGCTCGCCACGGTGGATTTTTCTATTTATCTTACTTATCCCTAAAATACTTGTAAGAAAAAATGGCTCAGAAAAATTTTGCTTACATGAGCAACAAAAGCAAAGCAAGCACGCAGCCAGCGGGGCTGGTGCTCCTAGCCTCTGCAGTCTCTCCACTTTAATTTCCTGTGACTACAAACCTAGCCAGACCTGAGAGTCTGACAGCAAAGAGGGAAGGAGGAGCATATGTAGCAAGGAGAGCATAGAATTATCTTATTAATAAACATGGTTCTCAGTGAAAATTATACCTATCAACCTTTCTCGGGCCTCTTCTTGCAATAGCATTGATAGACTGCATAAACCACAGTCGTTAACCAAGCGTCTCAAATCCAAGCATCCACCCGGAAGATGAAGACCTGCCTCACTGTTCTAAAGTGCTTAAACTCACAGAACATCAAAGGCAAGCATTCCCCAAGGGTTCGCTCTTCCTACTGATAAATATTTTTTTTGTTTTTTTTTTTAGAAGCAATGTTCATTTTCTTTATTTTTTTTCTTTTTTTATTTTTATTTATTTATTTATTAAGGATTTCTGCCTCGTCCCCACAACCGCTTCCCATTTCCCTCCCCCTCCCCCGATCAAGTCCCCCCCCCCCCCCCCCGTCATCTGCTCGAAGAGCAATCAGGGTTCCCTGACCTGTGGGAAGCCCAAGGACTGCCCACCTCTATCCAGGTCTCGTAAGGTGAGCATTCAAACTGCCTAGGCTCCCACAAAGCCAGTACGTGCAGTAGGAGACGGAGCACGAGCAAGGAACTCAGGACCACGAGGGGTGCACCCACACACTAAGACAATGGGGATGTTCTATTGGGATCTCACCAAGGCCAGCTGGCCTAGGTCTGAAAAAGCATGGGATAAATCAGGACTAGCTGAACATAGCGGACAATGAGGAATACTGAGAATTCAAGAACAATTGCAGTGGGTTTTTGATCCTACTGCACCTACTGATAAATATTAACAAAGATTCTTGAAGTCTCTTTTTTTGATCAAATAAATAGAAAGCTAATTACATGAAGGAGACGTGCACTCTTTCTGACATACAGGTGTAAGAGAGGATGAGTGTCTAAGTGTTAAGACAAATGTGTTCTTTCAGTGAAATGTGTTCTTCTTCCAAAACACTGATTTATCCCCAACATGCACAACGTCTCCTGCCCTGGACTGAGCACCTACTGAGCTTATGAACAAGTTCAGTTTCTCAGAACTAGACAAGGCAGAATGCAAATCTCCCAGTAACACAGACGAAGGCTGAGAACAGCTCCTCCTTCCACCCAAAAGACCCAGGATATGAAGCAACTGTTGGAGGTGGCAGCACTTTGTTCCTATAAGAAAATGGACATGTGCTGGCTCAAGGTCCCAGCTAGTCAAACATTAGCCTTCTTATCTGGTATTTGGATGTGTTTTCCAAGCTCCGGAAGTGGTGACAGCTGGTTTCTTAGTCAGATTTTAGTATGCAGTTCAATGAGCCACAGTCCCATAAACCTTCATTCAGGGAGGAGAGCTGACCAATCCCAACTGCCACAATAGGAGGGAAAAAAGGCTCAGACATGCCCTGGGCTTCTCCTCTAGCACAGGGAAGACAGTTAATCTATCAAAAGTCCCTGAAGATCAAGTGAACTTTTGAGCATGGCTATGATTTAATTCTACTGTCACTCTAAGGAGGTGACAGCTCCCCACAGATGATAGGAGGCATTGCCATTTTGACTAGTTTGTCCAAGTCATGTACCCATCACTTTTCATACTTAGAATATCGGTGAAACTGTTCTGTTTCTTGGATATGTGTGTGCTTGTATGTTGATTTAGTTTTTATTAGCATATATTAAATTACAACATTGTCATTCAAATCTAATTCCATACTTTGATTCATCCTGCATGACCCTCTCATACCCTCCCTTGCTTGGTGTCCCTTCTTCTCTCAAATAATCACCCTTCTCCTTACAGGTCTATCTCTGAGGTCTGGATTCTGAGTAGGAAAGGAAACACATAGTGTTCTTGCTCGGTATGACTTGTTTCACTTAGCATGATGAGCTCTTGCTGCAGCCATTTCCCTACAAATGACAGAATTCACTATCTGAAAAAATAAACTACAGAATGAACACACGCAAGATCTTCTAAACCATTCATCAACTGATGGGCATCTAGACAACTTCCTAAATTTGGCTGCTGAGGATAGTGCTTTGGTAAACATAGATATGCAAGGATTTTTCTGGTAGGCTGACTTGGAGTCCTTCGGCATATACTCAGAAGCTGTACAGATGAAGTACATGGTAGTTACAGTGGTAAATCTCCACACTAATTTCTATAGTGGTCACAGTAATCTACTTTCTTATCAGCCATATAAAATTGTTCTCTTCTCCACATCCCCTTTATCTTTTGTTGTTTGAATGATAACATTGGGTTGTGATGGAATCTCAGTGTGGTTTCATTTTACTCTCTTAAACAATCAAAAAACACTTAGGCTTACCAAGACTGAGTGATTGATCAAGGTCCGGGAGCTCAGAGGAATAATTATCTGAACCTAGAACTGTCTGCGTAAGGGCTGGAGTGATGGTTCTATAGGCAAGAGCACCTACAGCTCTTGCAGAGGACCCAGGTTTAGTTCCCAGCCTCCTCATGGCAGTTTGCGATTGCCTTTAACTCCTATTCCAGAGGATATTACATACTCTTCTGAACTCTGAGGGTTCATGCATGCATGTGTTTCACACATATGCACTTGGGTACAGTCAATATATGTAACATGAAATATCTACAAACAGAATTGTCTGGGGTAAAATTGACGCTTTCTCTACGGTAACTCATCTTAAAAGGTAGGCATGTCTTCTGAACATAATTACATAAACAATTAAAGTTTCTGTTTTTGTGGGTTCAAGTAATTATGGTTTGTAAATACCCAGAAAGAACACCATGTTTGTATTAGACATGTGCAGACTTTTTCTTGTCCTTGTTCTTCTGAAAATTAACCCGAGTCATTTGGTTAACACCGATTACGCAAGCACTCACAGCACAGCCTACTTTCTAGGCTGCTGGTTTGTATTGTGGTGGGGAAGCATAACACTCCCAAAGCTCCAACTCCTTGGGCAAGTCACAGAGGAAGCACAGAACTTATTGTGGTGGGCATCGTGAAGAAAAGACAATGAGGGGACCAGGAGAAAGCACTATATGTTGATGCAGAGTCTGAACTTGTAAGCTTTCTTCCCAGGTTGACCTCATATCAAGGCTTCTGGGACCACAGCAGGAAGCAACTAGCATGACATAGGGTCACGGTGATTGTAATCACTGACCCCAGAGAGTAACTCACAGTCACTGTGAACACATATTTTAGGCTGGTTTGTTTGTTTGTTTTTTTTTTTTACTTGCTTCTTCATGCTCTACTTACTCTATCAAAAAGAACAGGGTGGATATAGTGTGAACTGGTATTCTCTAGCCCTGTTTGAAATACAATAAAGAGCAGTGCCCAAGTCAAAGACTATAATTCATTCCCAGAAATCTTCCGTCCACATGCAGATCCACCCTTTATGAACTGTATTATCTGAAGTAAGGAAAGTAGCCTTACTTCCTTAGAAGAAGTAGCCTTTCTTGCTTAGAAATAGGAATAAAACCATCTGAAGGGAGCACAAGGCATTCTAAATATCAAAGTAAGGACCACAAACCCAGCTGTGTGTCTTTTAGTCCTAAATTCGTTCTAAGGTTCACTCTAACTTAGAAAATTAGCCATTTTAATCCCATAGTTATCCAAAGTTTCTAATATGTGGTTCAGATTGATAATGCCTACTAATAACAACAACAAAAAATGATTGGTCACTGGTATTATTTCTGAAACCAGTAAATTAAATTAGAAGTTTATTTTAACTTTAATGTTCTGTCTTTCTTTTGGGTTTTAGTCTACAATAGTTTCAGTAGCTAAGAGCAAGATAAAATTAAAATTTATAAGTAGATCACATGTAGGTGTAATATTAGGAACTCACACAAAGACTGCTTTCAATTGGGTTTTGCAGCTCAGAATTTTCCTTCAAAGGAAATATGAGCAAACTCTTGGCTGGCCACTATGATGGGATGGCACTGAGTAATGGATGTTCTCAGCTCAGTTCCAAACGCTGACAGTGCGAGGTATCAAAGTAAAGAGGGAGCTTGGGACAGGGAGAACACCTGTGTTCAGTACCACGTAGGTGTTAGACTATCTGACAGTTGTCTATTTGCACGGTGTATAATAACAGCTCCCAAGCAGAGGTCCACAGAGGAGGCAGGCTCTTCCACTACTGAAAACTTACTAGTCATGTACAGATTCCAGTTCAAACACATCTCAGGACTCAAGTATAGGAATGCTATTTGCTTAAAGAGTAGCCAGCAGTGGAACGTGTTAAATTTGGGTTTGGGCTTTGACTATACATGACTGTAGCAATTGATCTCAGGTGTCAACAAGATGAGATCTGCAGTCACTAGGAAGATGAGCCTCTAGAGATGGTTATGGGGGACTATCTCACTAGTTTACTGAATGGGGAGACCCATCCTGAAATGAGTTGCTCTGTTCCTTGGATGTGGATCCTGGCTGAATAAAAAGGAGTCAACTAGCTGAGGACAAACAATCACCACGCTGTGTGTCCTGACTGTGGATGCAGTGTGACCAGCTGCCTGGCACTCGTGCCGACATGATATCCCTCTCATGCTAGACTACATATCCTGGGACTGTAAATCAAAATAAACCATATTTTCCTTAGGTTGCTTTTGTCGTGGATATTTGATCACAGTAACAGGAAAAGTAATTGATACAGTCAGGGCTAGAAAATAAATAATAAATAAATACACACAATCATCTTCATCACTTCCCCATTCATCCATCTGTCTCTAAATATGGAACTAGCCATAGAAATAGAAAGCACATCAGCACGTACCTCTTCCAAGGTGGTGTCTGAGATGCCATACCCCGTCAGGTGTAGGTGCTGTAAGTTCTGATCCAGGGCCTGGCAAAGCCCCTTGAAGCAGGACTTGTCTGCATCTTTGGGGATGGTGTAGGTCAGCTCCCCTCCACTGCTATCTTTGAGGAATGCTTGGGGAATATAGACCTGTATCAAGGATGTAACACGAGCTACATCCTTGGGCTCCTGGGTTTCTAGGACAGAGGGCTACCAGAAAGAGAAATGGGTAAGAAGGCAGCAAGGAAGATCAATACAAATACTGTGTTATTTCAGATTTCTGACAGATTGCTGCATTTAAGCAGGAGGGGTTCTTTCAATGATGTGTTACACGTTTTCTCTTCTTTGTTAATGTATATGTATGTGCACACAGGGACCTGTGCACCAATGTTGAAGACAGAGGACAACTTGAAGGTCGTCCTCGGGAAAACTGTCTATCTCCTTTAAGGTAGGGTCTCTCACTGAACCTGGGGCTCATTAATTAGGCAAGTCTGGCTGGTCAGTAAGTACCAGGTATTCGTCTTGGCCTCTTAGCACTGGGGTGACAGGTGTATATCATCACATCTGGCATTTTATGTGTGTTCTGAGTTTCTAACTCAATGCCTCATGTTTGTAAGACAGGCACTTTACCAGCTGAGCCATTCCCAAACCCCTTTTCCTATTTTATAAAACATATATCTACACTGGTAAACCTGGTAAGCCTGCTTTTGACCCATGTGCCCATACTGGTTCCAAATGCTCCACCTCTTAGCTGCTCTGCTTCTAGGACAGGCAAGATTCGAGCCTCCAGAAGGGAGTATCACTGTCAAAACTATTTCTAGAACTCCTTGGCCAACTGAGCTTCCTGACAGCTGTTCTTGGTATCTACAAGGTCATTGTGGCCCCTCTTATGTTTCTTTCTGGAAGATTAAATGAACCCTGGGGTTCACAGAGGATAGCCATCACTGCTCAGGCCTGTAAGGAGTTCTTTGGACTCCTGAGACATCCTGCACAAAAGGCCTCCGGTTGGACATTATTGTTGTACAAGCGTCCTGCTTTGTTTCGAGTGACCTGTGTGCGACAAGGCTTCCCCAGGGAAATGAAAGAGCGGCACTTCTTACTTGTTTGGTAAGCGTCAGAGTGAGTCCTTGGCCATGGGTCTCCTTCAGGCCCGCAGGAGGAGCATAGCATCTGAGCTTCCCTTGCTGGAGCACAGCCACGTGGTCACTGAGCATCTCAGCTTCATCCAGGTGGTGGGTTGTGAAGATGATTGTGCGACCTGTATCCAAGCACAGGATGCATCAGAACCAGCACAACAAGGGTCCTTCCCTAGGAAGGGTGGACTGGGACAGGACTGAAAGAGAGTAACAGTGCTTTAAATAGTGGGGACCGGAATGGTGCTGTGTACAAACATAACCAGGTCTACTCTGAGAACTAGAGATTCTGAGAAGTGTCCCATATAGTTTCCCAAAAGGTATTGGTTGCTATTTACACAAACGCCCTCCATGACTTCCTTCATTAGGCTTGGGAGACACTGCCAGGCAAGAAGGGGGAAACTGCTATGCAATAAAGGCCCTGAGTTCAGCAGCTTTGTTTTCCAGGCGTAAGATGTAATAGCATTAAAATATGTACTGCATCCTAGAAAACACTTAGAAACCCTGAGCCACAAGAATGTGGGAGACAGTGTGGGAGCTGAGGGTGGGGAGTTAAGTCATGAGCCTTCCTAGGGGGGAGAGATGCTGAGTCCAGCACTCTGCTTCTGCAGAAATGCATGCTATGCCCACAGGTGTCTACAATGAATTGAGAATTCATTACCGTTCCTTGTGAAGAAGAAGCACTCTGATTTACCTTAGGAAAACAGAAGCCAGCAAAACTTAGGGTATTTGAGGAAAGATATTTCAATTAATATAAATAGATAATGTTCTTGCTTTTAGCTACTCTTTCCCCATTGGGTCAAACTGAGCCTCATTTAGCTGGTCTATCAAATAAAAGAAACATATTCATTGATTCTGGTTTCAAGAACAAATCTTTAAATAGATAATGACAAACCTGATTTTAATTTTACTTAATTTCATATTTTTCATAAAGGAGAAGGATTAAAAGGCCAAGAGTCTTATTCTTTTTGTTCTCTCCTTGATTTTGTTTTTATTACTTTTTGGTTTGATTTTATCTGATTGTTGAGGCTGTATCTCACTCTGTCTAGACCAAGCTGGTCTAGAAATCAGTATGTAGCCCAGGCTAGCTTCAAGTCCACAGCAATACTCCTGTCTCAGCCTTAGGACTGCTGGGAGGTGAGCCACAGTGCTTGTCATCCAGTTAATCATTTAGAATCCATCCAGAAAGAGCAATGAAAGGTAGTGCAGAATACAACAGGGAGTGGAATACCCAGTGCCATTTCTTATTGTAGAATGCATTACAAAGACCATGGGCAACATCTTGGTCTTCTAGTCCCCAGATGCTAAGAAAATGTACTCATGTCTGACCTAGGACCATCAGAGGCAAATTAGTTATTTTGATTAGAGATGTCCCACAATTCAGATGCATGTCCCGATACAATACGATACTCTAAGAACAGACATCCATTGAGTCGAGATTCTAAAGGAAAATGAAAGGAAGAAGGGCAAGGTGAGGAGCTGAGAGAGTAGAAAGAGGAACAGAGAAATGCTGGATAAATCACACAAAACTTCAGTTATGCAAGGTGGTAGAGTCTGGAGACCTGTTACACAACACAATAGCTACAGCTATTCATTGTGCATGTAAAAATTACTGAGAGATTAGCCCTTCAGTACACACACACACACACACACACACAATGTTCATTTGTATGGTGATAGGCATGTTAATTAGCTCTGTTTAATCTTTTCTCTTAGACAGAGACCCACATTGGAGCACCAGACTGAAATCTCAAGATCCAAATCAGGAGCAGAAGGAGAGAGAGCACGAGCAAGGAACTCAGAACCACGAGGGGTGCACCCACACACTGAGACAATGGGGATGTTCTATCGGGAACTCACCAAGGCCAGCTGGCCTGGGTCTGAAAAAGCATGGGATAAAACTGGACTTGCTGAACATAGCGGACAATGAAGACTACTGAGAACTCAAGAACAATGGCAATGGGTTTTTGATCCTACTGCACGTACTGGCTTTGTGGGAGCCTAGGTAGTTTGGATGCTCACCTTACTAGACCTGGATGGAGGTGGGTGGTCAGTGAACTTCCCACAGGGCAGGGAACCCTGATTGCTCTTTGGGCTGAAGAGGGAGGGGGACTTGATCGAGAAAGGGAGAGGGAAATGGGAGACGGTGGTGGGGAGGAGGCAGAAATCTTTAATAAATAAATTTTAAAAAAAAAAGAAAAAAAAAGAAAGTTGACCTGGCCTCAGCTAGTTTAGGGTGCTTGTATAATAAGGCAAATGCATCCACAGAGTTTATGTTTAGAGAGAAATCCCTATTTGCCATCTTATGTCTTTGCGTAATTGGGCATGCTTGTGATTAAAACCAGATGCACTCTGGGAAGAGATACCCACAGTAGAGAAATGGTTATATAATGTAATCGCTCAATCAAAATAAAGAACCACCCCATAGCAACCAAGCTCCTTCTCTTGAACCCATAAGGGAAAACCCCCAAATAATTGGGGTCACTGAGGACTTTAATTCATGTGGCCTGCTGTCAGTCTCAACAGTGTATTCAACTTACTGTTTCGCTTTGCTTTGAATAAAGTTTCCTCCCAAAAAAAAAAATCAAAACATGTACAATTTTTACTTGTCAAGTATACTTTACTAAAGCTGGAAGAGATAAGAAAGCGAATAATTCCCAACAAATTTAGATTACAGCCCCAGATATTTGATCCATGATGGCTCTCAGTGGATGCTACAGGAACCCACGATGCTGCTCTATCCTCAAGGCATATTCTAACAAGCCATTACCCTGCTCTTTCTTTCTGATTCTGGTGGTGCAGCCCTCCCTATCCAGACGTTGTTTCCAAAACTTACAGTTCCTGAATGGACTTCTTGTGTATTTTTTAAATGATGATAACCTCTCATGTATGGAGAGTCCACACACCAGATATTGAACCACATGCACTTTCTCAAGCAGCTCATTGACTCCTTAGAGCAGTGTTTCTTAACCTTCCTCATGCTGAGACCGCTTAATACAGTTCCTCATGTTGTGGGAGATCTCCAGCCACAGGATTATTCTGCTGATCCTTTATAATAGCAGCTTTGCTACTGTTAAGAATCATGTTGCAAATACCTGATACTCATGATATCTGACATGAGACCCCTGCTGAAATGGTCCTTCAGTGCCCAAAGGGTTGCAACCAACAGGCTGGGAACTGTTTGCTTGGAGAAATGATCCTATAGGACAGTGTGATAGTCTCCTTTTGCAACAGTGAAAACTGCAGCCTGGAGGAGCTTGGCCGTCTCTCCGACCTCACAAAGGAAATGGACAGCCAGTCTGAAATCTGGTCTCGGCATTTGTTTGTGATGTGCCACCTGGCTCTGGTGCCTCTGCCTCATTACTGATCTTTCCAGGGTAGACACTGAAATGCTGGCACCAGAGCTGATCAAAAGCTCACACTGTCCACCAAAGAACAACACACACACACACACACACAAAAACACATACACACACACACAAGACGCCCAATAGACTGAGCGTCCAGTGCTCAGTGTTCTGATGGGAAAACGACTTTTCTCCTCAGCAGGTAACACTTGTTTTCACACAGTCTTTCTCACAAAGCCTGGTCAGTTGCCAGTTGAGGGCGTTTACAGGAACAAGCTAAACATTTTCATTTTTGAAGACATGTTTGCCTTTTACTACTGTCTAGCCAATCTTCTTACAGGTTATTCATTTTGCACTCCAATCAGTACAACAGTTCCAAAGGGGTCTCCCGAAGATGAAAATAATCGCTATTAAACAACACGGAATGGAATCACAGAATTTAATGAAGACTACCTTTTTCTCAGACCTACACTGCAGCTGTTTATTCTGACTATTTAAACTCTAAACGGCCCACCAACTAACCACCCAAGAAAGGGAGAGCTGGAGGGTGGGGAAGATAGCTGGGAAATGCCATCCTTTGGACACAATATGACTGCTACAATATGAACTCACAGCAGTGTGGTCACATGCCCAAGACCAAGCCAAAAGTTGCTGGGTAGTAGGTGAAGAATAATTATTTCTTGGGGATTCTACCGCTGCTAGTTCTCCTATGCTCTGGTAGAGATGGCTCCACCCCGATGTACTGATGTGCAATCCTAACTGAAGTTCGAAGGGGGAATGTTGGGAGTACATGGGAGGAGATGGAGGGGGAAAGAAGAGATACTTACACTATTTCATCATATACATGTATGGGGATGCTCAAAACTGAAAGCAGACCCCAGAATAGGGCGAGAAGGGGTTCCCAAAGAAGCATTTGCAGTTGGAGGTTGCTGGGATAGAGAAATCCATTGTTCTTTACGGTATGGTTAATATTAAGTTGTTTATGCCCCAGCAGATGACACGACACTCGTACACATATGTGTAACACTAGCTGAACTCAGTGAGCTATTTTTAAAAAGCATGAAATTGGAAGTGTAGTGTGTTGATAGGGCAGGGAGAGTTTGAGGGAGGCAGTGAGGGGTGGCTACGTGGAAAATACATTATATACGTGGACTAATTTTTCAATAAGTATTTTAATGAAAAAGTATGGAACATTAAAATATAATTAATATATTTTAAACAACTCTATCTCTGATTCTTAAACAATAATTGTGGGATTGCTCTGTTTAATTTGTGCATTTCACAGAGCAGGGAAATTATAATCCATTCATCTAACCTCCATCCATCTTCTTTACCAGTCCCACTCAAAGTGGCAGGAAAGTAAGGGATCCAATCTTAAATTTTAATCAGTGCCCATGAGCTGCATTTAGTGTTTTCCACCAGAGTTTCCCATTTTTTCATTCCAGGTCCTTCTTCTGTTCTCGCAAAGGGCATGCAGGTAAATGGATCAAAGAGGCAGAAAAACAGTTACGAGTGGGGGTGATGCCTGTCATGGCTGAGACCCACAGCACTGTCCTCTCAGCCCCAGCGTCTGCAGCCTGGGCAGGGGCTCTCTCAGGGAGTCCCACCTGAGGGCTTCATATTCCATGCCTCCTGCTTAGCTGAGGCATTCTGGTTGCAGACCCCGAAACCTGACCTGGCCTCCAGCAAGACAGCTCCAAGGGCAGCATCTCTCACAAGCTCTGGCTGCCTCTCGGGGCTGCAGCTGTGGACCTAGGAAGGGTGAGGACGCCAGTCCCTGATGCTTCCCAGGGGCCCAGCATCCTGACCTCCTAGTCAGCTTCATAGACAGGACCTAAATTCTTCTCTTGCAGCTGCACAACCCAAACCAAGAGCACATGGGACAGCAAAGCTGTATCTGCTGGCTCCATTCCCCAGCTCCTCAATCTGTGTTCTCCTTTTGTAATTCCTCAGAACCGCGGGACAGAAGGAACAGAATCGCTGCCTATTTGCTGAAGAAAAGGGCAGGCTCTAGATTGTTCTTTCCCCCTCCCCCCGTTCTTTTCCTACAGCAAACCTTGATCTACTGACAAGGAAGCTGGAGTTTTAAGTCAAGCCAAAGAAAAGTGGTAAGCTAGGAAATGAAAGGGGGGGGGGTGACAACATTTTATAAGATTGTGCAACCTGGCCACAGAAGTTTTGATAGTCCTTCATCAGCACTGAGATGAGCTTCACTGATCCTCATGTTCAGTTCAAAGCACGTTTCTATGTAAGATGCCTCTACCATCACTTCCTGACTGTGTGGAGTAGGGAAGCAGGCAGAAGATGAAAAGCAGCAAACAGTTGCCTACCCAATGCTTGCAGTAGTAAACGAGCAATAAAAAGGGACATATGGCCCCTCTTTGGCAGAGACGTGTTTCCCCTTTGTCAGCTTTCTCTAGAGATGTAAGACTACCACACATCCATCTCACCATGCCTCAGCTTCCTTGTGTAACAGAAAGTGCTGCCACTTAGATCCTGAGGACCTTCCAATGGTCTACATGCTAAGGGCCTATTTGTCAGCCTGATATGTTAGCGGTAGGACCATCTGGAGATGAGGCTTGCTAGAAGGAAGTTAGGCCCTTCGACCATGTCCCTCCTGGGCCTTGCTTCTATGCCATCATGAAGTGATCTTACCCATCTACCATAACATACTGTACCACTGCAGGTCCAAAGAAAAAGGACAACTGTGGGTGGCACTGATTGTCAATTTGAGTAGCCCAGGATCTTTGGAGAAAAGAAACCTCAACTCAGGCAGAGCTGTGGATACACTAGTGAGGAATTGTTTGAATGATGATTGACATGGGAGGGTCCAGCCCATGGTGGTCACCATGACCATCCCTGGGTCTGAGGGCCTGAGCTGAATAAAACAATGAGACAGGAAATGGCCCAGAGAGTTAGGCGTCAAACCATGTCTGTCCATAGTGCCTGCCTCCAGCTTCCTGCCTTGAGTTCCTGCTCTGACTTCCTTCAGTGATAGAATATCATCTGCAAGTATTTGGTAAAATAAACCCTTTCTTGCCCAGGTTGCCTTTGGTCAGAGTATTCTATCCAGGCCACAGCAAAGCAAACTAGAATGAGAACCAGCCACTCATTTACTGGAAGCTTTGATATTAAGAGCCCAAACAGTCGTTTTATCCACAGCAGTGGAAAGCTGCCTAACTCAGGAAAGTTTGTCTTTGATGACCTCTAATTGCATCCTTTCATTTTTCATGCTTCTAAAATGGCATTTAATTTAGACAAAGGCAGCTTCAAATGACATCACCTATAACTCCAACTCACTGACTGTATCATTTCTAATATTGACTTAAGAGATCAAATGCAAAGTAGGTATTCTTAGTATTATAAATATATTAGCAAACAAATATATCATAAACTATTAGAATATCTTACTTGTTCTGA